ATTTGGATATTGATGCTCATGATGATGAACAACATGGTGATACTCGATAATCAACAGGTTGAAGATAGCTTGGATGTTCCTATTGATAATGTTGATGAAGAGGAACATGATGTATCACATGATGAGAGTCTTGGTGATATACCCGAGCTACTCGAAACTCAACCTAGAAGATCCGACAGGCCAAGACAACCTTCTAAGAAGTACTCTACCAATGAGTATGTGATGTTGATCGATGAAGGAGAACCCGAATGTTATGAGGAGGCCGTTGAAAGTGAAGAAAAGCAAAAGTGGTTGGATGCAATGCAGGATGAGATGAAATCGCTGCATGATAATCACACTTATGACTTGGTGAAGTTGCCTAAGGGTAAGAGAGCCTTAGAGAACAGGTGGATCTTCAGTGGTGAAGCAAGAGAGCAATTCTACATCTACCGGATATAAAGCCGATTAGTGGTGAAAGGCTTTAGACAAAGAAAGGGTGTTGACTTCAATGAGATTTTCTCACCTGTGGTGAGGATGACATCTATCCGAACCGTGTTAAGTTTAGCCGCTACTCTTGATTTGGAAGTTGAGCAGATGGATGTGAAGACAGACCTTCCTTCATGGTGATTTGGAGGAAGAGATTTACATGAAGCAACCGGATGGTTTTCTTGTTGAAGGCAAGGAAGACTATGTGTGTAGGCTACGAAAAAGCCTATATGGTTTGAAGCAAGCTCCAAGGCAAGTGGTATAAGAAGTTTGAGTCTCGTTATGTGTGAGCAAGGCTATAAGAAGACTACTTCCGACCATTGTGTTTTTGTCGGAAATTTTTCGAGAATGATTTCATTATCCTGTTGTTATATGTTGATGACATGCTTATTGTTGGAAAAGATGTTTCCAAAATTGACAGAGTTGAAGAAGCAACTGGGCAAGTCATTTGCCATGAAAGACATGGGAGCTGCTAAGAAGATTCTTGGTATAAGTATCACTTGTGATAGAAAAGAGAAGAAACTTTGGCTATCACAGGAGCACTACATTCGAAGGTGTTGCAAAGATTCCAAATGGAGAATGCTAAGGTTGTAAGTACTCCTCTTGCTACTCATTTTAAGTCGAGTGTTAAACAAAGTCCTTCAAATGAAGTTGAGAAGATAGCTATGAGAAAAGTTCCTTATGCTTCTGCGTGGGTAGTTTGATGTATGCAATGGTATGTACAAGGCCTCGATATTGCACACGCCGTTGGTACAGTTAGCAGATTTCGTCAAATCCAGGTAGAGAGCATTGGAATGTCGTGAAATGGATTTTGAGGTATCTTCGTGGTACTAGAGGTTTGAGACTTTGTTTTGGAGGTGATAAGCCTACTTTGGTGGGTTACTCGGATTCGGATATGGCTGGAGACATTGATTCCGGAAAGTCCACTTCAGTGCTATTTGATTCAGCTTATGGGGGAGCTTTGGCTTGGCAATCAAAGTTGCAAAAGTGTGTGGCGTTGTCTACTACTGAGGCAGAATTCATTGCACTTATCGAAGCATGCAAAGAGTTGTTATGGGTGAAGAAATTCTTGCAGGAGCTTGGTTTTGTGCAAGATAAATACTTGTTGTATTGTGACGATCAAAGTACTATTCATCTTGGTAAGAATCCAACTTTTCATTCTAAATCCAAACATATTGATGTGAGGTATCATTGGATACGTGATGTTTTGGATGCTAAGTTGGTGGAACTAGCTAAAGTTCATACAGATGATAATGGTGCTGATATGATGACCAAGGCATTGCCAAGAGGAAAGTTTGAAGTTTGTTGTGAGATCGCTGGCTTGGCGGATATCTCCACATAGTCGTGAGGGGGAGATTTGTTGGGTTATTGGGCTCCCTTCCTATGTGGAGAATAGGCCCAAATAGTGTGGTCCATTATGTCTCATTTGGGTAAAATGAGATGGGTCAGATTAGTAGAGGACAAGAGAGTCATTTGAAAAAAGACAAAAGTCTAGTGAGAGAAAAGAAAGAGAGAAAGTCATCTCCGCATAACCCTAAATCTGCACTGGTGTTTTCGTCGCTGTGAAGTCGTTCACCGTTGGATCGAGCTGATTTTTGGATAGTAGGTTCCAGACATATGGTTCTTCATTCTGACCGTTCGGATCGTCAATCGAAGGTCTAGATTGGGAGAAATTGGTCCCGCACCAGCAACCCTGTTTTGGAGATTTTTCATCTTCTTTGTTTCTCTTTTGTAAGCATTTGTGCTCAGTTAATTCTCGCTTATTGAAAATACCTTTTGGTATTATTATTGGAGACTCTTGTGTACCCCATTATTGATCATAGTGGATTTTTCTTTGGTCTGGACGACTCGTGGTTTTTACCCTTGCATTGAGGGGTTTTCCACGTTAAAATTGTTGGTGTCTCTTCGTGCTTTGGATTCTATTTGTTTCGGTGCTCCTCGCCGATTCTCGCAAGAAGGGGATTGAATTTCCGCTGCATTATTACTCTTTGTCAAGTTGTTATATTTGTTTTTTGGCCTTTTTTTTAAACCATCAAAAGTTTACCCTACTTTAGATACCAAATGTAGTTAAAAAATATATATAATAATAATTAAGTTCAGGTAAGTTAGCCTATGTATTACATCAAACTCTCATTCATGTTAAAAGGATTGGGAACTTTACATGATGCTTAAGTTAAAATAAAAATAAATAAATTAATAATAATAATAATAATACAAAATTCTCTAACTAAAAATGAGATGTTCTATATATAATAGAATAATTATATTTATAAATATTTTAGTATATATTATAAATCATAAATTATATATGTTTAATGTTAATTATAAACTAGCAATGTGACATATTAATTATATATTATTATCATTATTATTATTATATTTATATTATATTTATATGGAGAATATTTTTAAATAATTTTACACTTACATTTAGAATGATGTATTATATAGAAAAATATATGTGATATTTATATCTATTAAAATTTTAGAAATGTGGAAAGTTCTAAGAAACTAATTGCTAAAAAAATTTATATAACTGCTCTGATAATAAATAAAAATAATTTACATTCATTTAATGTAAAATTTAACTATTATTTAGTAGTTTAAAATGTGGGTAAATTATTATATCACGTCCTCAATATAGTGATGAAACTGGTAACGAAGAGTGTAGATAAATTAATTTTATGTGGGGTTGATAAGCGTATTCGTACACTTAATTTTTTTTTTGTCTGTTCTTCCCCCTTAAGCATAACCTGTCTCTCTATATTGGTGTGGGTTTGAATTTTAAAGAAAAATGGTATAAGGCTTGTGTTCATTGAAGAGTATGGCTATGAACTTGCGAGAAGCACTAGCTCCACTAATCCAAACATGGTTTTATCTATCCTTTTCAGATTGAATATAGTGGACAATTTTTATTTTTATTTTTATTAATAAATTAGTACACACTTTCTAATTTTACTTTGTCTTTTATTGTTTTTTATTCATTTTACAGTCTTATATTTATTTCGTTTCATTGGATAAAAAAATTAGTTGTACATATGAAGTGATGACTACAGTAAAAATATTAATTATTAAATAAAGTAAACAAGCATTTCTTAAACAATAACTACATATTACAATAATATAAAATTAATATTTTATTAAATTAAGAGAATAAATAAAAATAAAAAATTATATGATATTTTTTGATGGTAATTCAGACCTTTGAAAAACCAACCCAGTAGTCGGATTCAGTTGTTTATAGTCTGTTGATTTATATTTTAAAAGTCCAAATTAAATTAACCCAATTAAATAAATATGGTAATGTATAGCTAATTATTCTTTTTAGTTGATGTACATTACCTACTTATAATTAGATATTATCTTAAAATATGCTAAGATTATTAATCAACAACAAAACAAGGTAGTTAGTAACTGTCTTTTCATTTGACTAATACGTCCATTTTTGTTTTCATTTTTTAAAATGAAAAATATACTTAGACACTCTTATTTGAAAAAAAAAATACATAATAGACAACTGATATAATAATAGAATAATAAATATTATTATTAGATATTTTTTCTAAATGTACAATCACCCTAAAAAGTTCTAATCACGAATTATTTGCACTTTGGATAAATTTTCTACCCATCCATTCCATAGATCCTTTGATTCTAAAAAATTAGTTTCTTACGTTAGTTTCTTACGTGAAGATAGAGAAGGTATTAGCTTAAATAAATAAAAAACAGCGAATACTAAATAATGGAAAAATGACTACCCAGTGCCCTTGTAACATTGACAAAGATTTTAAAAAGAGAAATTTTCATTAAGAATTACATGTGAGCGCATTAAAATATCATAATTTACAATTTTATTCATTTAATTAAAAAAGCATTTCACATTTAATTCCTTTACAATATAGTGAACTTGAGAGTAATTAACACAAGCCAAAAACAAATTTGTCTAAGAAACATTACTCATAAGTTTATTGTTTTGAATAAATTTTGACCTTACAAATATTAATTTAATTAAAAAGAATTAATTTGATAAAAATTCCATTGCTAACTCTTCTCTTCAAAACTATTAAACATGATTCTTATTAATCTATACATGTTTTATATTTTGTTATTTTTTTTTTTAAGATCATTGATGAGTTGATAATTTGTTTTGGGAAATAGAACCAATTAATAATTATATATTAGTAATATGTTTAGTTGTGAAATGATTGTATTTTATGAATTCTTTTAAAAATTAGATCATATTTATATAAACAGAACGGTAGGCAGCTTCACTGATTGAGATTTTTTATAGACAGTGTTTGGACACAAGCCTTGTCTTTATCATGAGGACTCGTTCAATGCGAACCACATGACCAATACCATCTACTACTAAAAATACTTTCACTTTTGACTCCTACATTCTCCACTTTCAACGCGTAACAGTGACGATCGCATCTTCAAAAAAACATCCCCAAAAAAAAAAAAACAAGCGAAACCGCAAAGCAAACAATAAACAAATAAACCTTTAGGTCCTCCATCTGATCCCACTCTCATCAATGCAAACAACCATCGATGTCTTCGTCAAAATCAAAGCAGATGACTCCCAAACGCCACCGCCACCGCCTCCAGCACCACCGGCGCAAATCACCCCATCCACGTTAATATTCTTCTCCATCGCAGTGGCCGTGTTCTGCTTCGTAGGTTTCATCGTGGTCTTCTTCTGCAGGTGCTGTTTCGTGAACATCTCGCGCACCAACACCGTCGTTCGCCTCTCTCCCATCGCTTCTCCCTACAGAGGCCTCGACCCTTCTCTTCTAAGCACGTTCCCCACGTTCCTCTACGCCACCGTGAAGGATCTCCGCAAGGAGAAGAAGTACTCCCTTGAATGCGCCATTTGCTTGGTGGAGTTCGACGACGACAGCATGCTGCGTCTCTTAACCGCGTGTTGCCACGTGTTCCACCAAGAGTGCATCGACCTGTGGCTCCGCTCGCACAAGACTTGCCCCTTTTGTCGCATGGATCTCGAGACAGCCAGTAACGCCGACATGCAGAAACCTCATGAGCAAAACGAGGAGAATGTGGAAGAAGAGAGAAGCGAGCACGTGTGCATTGACGTGAATGAAGGCCATGGAGATGCGGGACCCAATAGTTGTGGTGAGGGACACAATGATGGTGGTGAAGGAGGTTCGATGAGTGTGAGCATGCAGCGAGAGAAGTTTGCATCCACACGTTCACACTCGACTGGGCATTCCATAGTTCTAGTTAGAGAAGGAGATGAAGGAAGAGATTATGATAATGATGATAAATACACGCTGAGATTACCTGAACATGTGGCGATAAAAATTTTTAAAGGCCACAATTACTCCAAGAGTTGTTCCAGTTACAAAGACATGCCAAAGCCTTCTGGTGCACCTTGTAGTAATTGTGGTTATGTTCAAACTGTATCTCAAAGCTCCTCCAGTAATGCTATAAACAATGCTTAACTTTGTTTCTTGTTCGTTGTTATAGCTCTGTTCATGCTAATCTTTTTATCTTCAATATTTGATACTTAGGATAATATTTAATCTTTTTATAAACAATGCTAATTTTTTCGCAATGGATTTTGTTTTAGGATAAAATTACAGGAACCTTGATTAGATTAGATCTGATTAAAAAACTCGTCTTTCATCCTAATCTAGAAGTTTATTTTATTAAACTATTACAGATCGGATTTAACATAATGTGTTTAGAGTCGGTTTTAATATGATATGTTTCGAGTATGATATCGTATCATTATCTACTTTAAATGGCCTGTACGATAATCATAGTAATTATTTTATCTATAAGTGAGATTAGGGGCCTTATCATCTTTGGAGATTAGTTTTAATTATTAGATCTTAATTATAAAAAAAAACTAATATCTTCATATTAACATCACACAACCTTTGAGTTTTGAGGCAAAGCTGAAAAAACTTAGATATTATACCCAAAATATAATAATATTTTGGTTATAGTGAAATGTTATAAAGTTTCTCATCCTCAAGAAAAAGACGTTGAGTCTTAAACTCTTATAAGAAATAAAAAATAATCAAAATATTGATAATTTTTCTTCGAACGTTGATCACTAGGTTAGGAAAAGAACGAGACAAATGCTTAAATATTATACATCCTTTTAGTCTTGAGGTGAAGCTGTAAAACTTAAGTATTGATCACCATATTCAATAATATTTAGATTATACCTGGATGTCATACATCCCTTAGAATGTTAAACAACACATTTTTCTTTGGGTGGGACTCTAATGACCCAAAATAATAATGAAATTGAGGACCAAACAGAAGCAGACAATTGTGGAAGTGACTTCTTCATGAGCCCAACGTTGGAGAATAGACCAAGTGCAACAAAGTTAGGCCTAAATACTTTAGGGACTATGATTACTCTATTAAGGATAGATTGAAGTAAGTAACAGGATTTACTGTGGGTACGGGGGCTGGTTAATATTTCTCTGGTAGTTAGAATTATGATATATTATAATCTTTCTATTGTGATATGTCTTTCTTGTGGGTGCTACTCCACTATATATGTATACTTTGGTATTGAATAAAGGAGGAAAATTATCACCTACATTTCTTTTTGTTTATGGAGGAAGCCTAACCTGCTAAATAGGCATTACAAGTGGTGCTTTCATTGAGAGTCCTACAAGCATGACTTCATAAACAAACGTTGACAAAATGGATACCATTCTTCAATTACTTGAGAAGCAAAAATCCTTCCAGGAGGAAATGAATGTCCGAATGACCAACTTGAAAGTTCACGTAGTTGTGCGATTTGAAACCCTAGGACAACCTCACCAATCAGCCACTCACCCGAACTTCCATGAAGTTCGACTTACCTCATTTTGATGAAACAAAATCGATGTCGTGGATCTTCAAAATTAAACAATTCTTCGATTATCATAAGACATCGGAAGAACAGATTTTCATATGATTTTCTTCGCCTTGGATGATGAAGCCATAACTTGGTTTCAGTGGTTACATGCCAATAACATGATCACCAGTTGGGAGACATTTCTTCAAGTAGTGGAGGTGCGCTTCACACCGTCGTACTATGAGGACCCAAAAGGAGCGTTGTGCAAACTATATCAAACCTCTACTGTTCACAAGTATCAAACCCAATTTGAGGCTCTTGCGATCGCATTGTTGGGCTACCCCCGTTGTTCTTCTTGGTTTGTTTTGTCTCGGGTGTTAAACCTGAGATTCAATGGGAGGTAAAAGCGTTCTAGCCAATATCCTTGTCCCAATCCATAAGCCTAGCAAAGTTGCAAGAAGAAAAATTTGTGGAGGCTCAGACAACCACTTGTTCGAACCGAATAGTATTTCCTATCACCAAAACCACTTTGTTCTTAAACTCCTCGTCTTCCATTTCAAAAAAACCAAACACTAACCAACATATTATTAAACGTTTAACCTTAACAGAATTATAGAGTTGGCGCGATAAGAATCTATGTTACTATTGTGACGAGAGGTATCATCCTGGTCATAAGTGTAAAATGGAGTTTATGCTGCTAATCGTCGAACCAAATGACCCCGAGCAAGTAGTGGAAGAATTGACCCACTGCCTACAAATAAATGCTCCAAGTCAGAGTGACTCACCCACCGGCACCCATTCAACCCAAATCAGTTTACATGCACTGTTGGGTCATTCAATACTTCATACCCTCAAGGTATTGGGTCATATCAACACTTCTCCAGTTGTAATTTTGATGGATAGTGGGAGTACCCACAATTTCATCCAAGATCGTATAGCAAAACACTTGGGTATCCAGGCTACACCAACCTTGGGATTCCACATATTGGTTGAAAATGAAAAGGAGCTACTTTGTTCAATAGTGTGTAAGCAAGTGCCACTAAAAATTGACTCTCATATGTTTCTAGTTGATTTGTTTGTGTTACCTCTGAGTGGTGCATAATTGGTTTTGGAAGTCTAGTGGCTTACTACTTTGGGATCGATTTTGACGGACTATGAAAATTTGACAATAAAATTCATTAAAAGGGGGAAGATGGTTGAACTCAAAGGTGAGCAACGTACAACACCACAAGAGGCCACGATCCATCAACTCAAGAGAATGATTGCTACCAATAGTGTAGCTAAACACTTCCAGTTGCATTTAATCTCACCTATTGGGCCCCCAACTAAAACTCAAACAGTAACGGAGGTTGAAGAGTTATTGGACAAATATTCTCAAATCTTTAATGAACCAAAATGGCTTCCTCTTGTGCGAGAGACTAATCACCAAATTCCTCTGTTGGAAGGGGCTAACCCAGTAAATGTTAGGCCTTACAGATATCTGCACTTCCAAAAACGTGAAATTAAGCATCAAATTAAGCAACAATGTTTTTTCTCCCTCGGTACTACTGGTGCAAAAGAAAGACGGGTCTTGGAGTTTTGTGTGGATTATAGAGAACTTAACACTATCACAGTAAATGATCATTTTCCTATTCCTTCAATTGATGAGTTATTGGATGAGTTACACGGAGCACAATGGTTCTCCAAGCTGGATTTGCGCTCTGGATATCATTAAATTCATATGTGTCCATGTGACATTAAAAAAACTATTTTTCACACGCATGAAGGGTATTATGAATTTCTTGTAATGCCTTTTGGGCTATAAAACACACCAACATCGTTTCAATCAACCATGGATATTCTGTTTTAAGCTTATTTGTGTGATTTTGTTATCATTTTTTTTACATACTTGTCTACTGTAAGTCATTGAAGGAACATGTTGCTCACCTTGACACTGTTTTACACAACCTCCTAAGTAATCAATTCTTTCTAAAAAAGAACAAGTGTTTGTTTGCACAAAAGTCAATAGAATATCTGGGTCATGTCATAACAAGAGATGGAGTTGGACCAAACCGGGAGGAAATTCAAGCCATGCTTGCCTGACCAACACCCACCAATATCAAGCAATTACGCAGGTTTTTAGACCTAACTGGGTTCTATCACAAGTTTGTCAAGCATTAAGCTTCGATAGTTGCCCCTCTCACAAACTTGCTCAACAAGGACTCATTTGCTTGGTCAATTGAAGCTCAACAATCCTTTGATCAATTGAAGGTTACTATGACATAGGTCTAAGTTCTATCATTGCCTAACTTCAAGGAGGAGATTATCTTAGAAACTTATGCATCAGAGCAGGGAATGAGGGCAATTCTACTATAGAAAGGTCACCCTATTTCTTATTTTAGTAAAAAGTTTTGCCACAAAATGCTTTCCTCATCCACATATGTTAGGGAGTTGCATGCAATCACAACCGCAATTAAAAAGTGGTGCATTTATTTGTTGCGGTAGAAAATTCATTGTATATGCTAATCAATGCAACCTTCAGGAGCTAATGACATAGATAGTGCAGGCACCAGAGCAGCAATACTACTTGTCCAAATTGTTGGGTTACACATATGAGATTGTATACAAGTCGGGGGCATCTAATCGAGTAGCAAATGCCTTGAGTAGACTGCACGGAGGCACGGAGGCCCAACTCAAATGATGGAGTTAATGGTTCCATGGTATGATTTGGTGGAGAAAATTCAAGAAGCTTATAAATTTAAACCTAACCTTCAACAAATATATCAAAATGTCCTTCGCTGCCCTAAGGAACATCCAGGTTTTAAGATAGTCAAAGGGATCCTCCTTTACAATGATAAAAAATTTATTTCGGAATGGTCACCTCGCAAACAAGTCTTACTACAGGTATTTCACGCTACACTGATAGCTGGACATGCTAATATCCATAGAACATATGGGAGGTTGAGTGACAATTATTTTTGGAGATGTATGAAAAAAGATGTGATTGAATTATTTAAGACTTGCATTGTCTGTCAACAAGTTAAGTCACCTACACACCTCCCCTATGGGTTACTATAGCCACTTGACCCTCCCACGATAGCTTGGGAAGACATTTCCCTTGACTTTGTTGTAGGGCTCCCTTTGTTCCAAACATACTCTGTTATTTTGGTTGTAGTTGATAGATTTTCTAAAGTTAGGCATTTTGGAATGCTTCCCATTATCTTTACTGCTATGAAAATTGTGAAATTGTTTGCATTCATGGTTTGCAGGTTGCACGACATGTCAAAGAGTATCATTTCAGATTGTGACTCGATTTTTATGAGCAATTTTTGGCAAGAGCTCTTTCGGATGAGTGACAGAAAACTTTGAATGTCTTCAGCTTACCATTCGTAGAGTGATGGACAAACAAAAGCTATTAATAAGATGTTGGAGCAGTACTTGCGAGATTTTGTTCACACTGAACAAAGGTTATGGGAAAAATACCTACACTGGGTTGAATGACATTATAATTCAGCAAAACACACAACTACCGGAGTCACACCTTAGGAGGTCATTTATGGTCAGTCACCTCCTTCATTACCACAATATATAGTTAGCCCCAGCCGTAATGAAGATGTGAATTCAGACTTAGCTACTTGACAAAAGTTGTTGACCAAGCTACATTCCAAGCTGCTTAAAACCCATACCACCATGAAATACTATGCAAACCAGAAACAATTGTCCCATCTTTTTCAAGTGGATGATCACGTCTTAGTAAAACTAAGACCATATCGTCAAGTAAAAACAAAGAGTATAAATGCTTCAAAACTTGCTCAACGCTTTTATGGGCCCTTTCAAATTGTGAAGCTAATTTGTGAAGTTGTGTTTCAGCTAGACTTACCTAATGTTACTCAAATTCACCCAGTTTTTCATGTTTCTAAGTTGAAAACATTTAAAAAATGTGTTGACACCTCTGCTTTAAAGTTTCCACCTATGGCCTTTGATAACCAGCCCAAATTATAACCCCTTGCAGTGTTGGATTGGCGCGAGTCTCCTTTATCCGGTACTCGTGAGGCATTGATACATTGACAAGGATTTTTTTTCCTGAAGACACTACCTAGGAGGACCTTGAGATGTTGCTTGAAGAATACCCAAACTTGCACCTTGAGGAAAAGGTGTTTGTTGAGGGAAAAAGGGATGTAATGACCCAGAATAATGATGAAGCTGAGGACCAAACAGAAGCAAAAAGTTATGGAAGTGACTTCATCACGAGCCTAACGTTGGAGAATAGGCCCAAATACTTTAGGGACTATGATTACTCTGTTAAGGATAGATTGAAGTAAGTAACAGGATTTACTGTGGGTACGGGGGTTGGTTAATATTTCTCTGTTAGTTAGGATTCTGATATATTGTAATCTTCCTGTTATGACATGTCTTTCTTGTGGGTGCTACTCCACTATATATGTATACTTTTGATATTGAATAAAGGAGGAAAATTATCACCCATATTTCTTTTTATTTATGGAGGAAGCTTAACCTGCAAAATAGGCATTACAGGGACCTACCATGACACATGTCACCCATTAGTTGTTTGATATGATGACATGTTCTATCACTTGCTTTAAACTATAAATGTGATAATATCAATAATTTTTATCAGAAGGTCAATAACTAGGATAAGGATAAGACTGAAACTAATGATTAGACACTACGTAACCCCTCAATGGTGATACTGAGGCTTAAATCTTAAGCTTTAAATTGAGAAGAGATCAAGGCTAGTGATTGCACACTACTCAGTCTTGAGCCAAAAATGCTAAGGCTTAAATTCATACAAATGATCATAAAATTTATAACTCTCATCAAAATGGGTTCAATGCTAATGACAAAATTCAAGTGCCATGTCATTGACAACCACATTATGGATCTCATAAAGTCTTGAATTGATGATGAAAGTCACACATTAAGTCATTAATGATCATATTATGAATATAATAGAATCTTAAGTTGATGGACCCCATAGATAGGAGTGAAATCATAACGTTTAGTTAAGGGTGTTAGATTAAATAATGTATATACATTAAAATTAGTTATGGTATAAAATCAAATATATTATATAAAATTATTGAAAATTATAAATTGTTCAAGTATATTTAATATCAATATAATATATATATATATATATATATATGAAATTAAATATGTTTTAATTATTTTTTACCATATTTCACAATATAAAAATCATCAATTATTACATAATTTATATAATAAGTTGTTAAACAATATTTTCAATATTTACTTATTGAATTTAAATTTGATAAGTTAAAGTTTATTTTATCATTTTTTTCTCTTGCAAAATTAATTTATAATTTTTTTAAAACATCTCTAAAACTTAACCTTTTCCTTTTTCATATTTTAACATGAAAATTGAGCACCATAAAATATTAAAATAACTAATTAATTGATAACAAATAATATACATGTTAATATGTTATAATAATAAATAAAAATAATAAAAAATTACTTACTTCAAGAAAAATGTGTAAACTAAAAAGAAAATAATAACAAATAATATACATGTTAATAGGTTATAATAGTGAATAAAAATAATAAAAAACTACTTACTTCAAGAAAAATGTGTAAACTAAAAAGAAAAACTTATAATTTTTATGTTATAAGTTAAAAATGGAAAAGAGAAAAGTATATAACCGAATAACGATTGAGAAAAAAAAGTAGAAATATAAAAATAAAATGATGAATATTTGAAAAATTGAAGTGAAAAAGTGTAAAAGGTAGGGGAAAAAAACTAAAAAAATGTGAAAATAAAAAATAGAAAGAAAAAGATATAAATAGAAAATTATATAAAAAATAAAAGTAATATTTATTATAATTATTATTATTTTTTATTAAAAAATTAAAATATAATAACTTTTTTTATCATTTAATTTTTAAATTGTCATATATATATATATATATATATATATATATATATATATATATATAAATCAAAATTTGATGGTAATCCCACTTCCCCATGTTACACCTTTGTTCATAGGGTCTCAAATGTGGTTAGTATCGACTATGGTTTGGATCTCAATCAATGATATCTTGAGACATATTAAAAACCATGTAGGGTCTTTTATCGTTGTGGTTCAATGTCTTGATCTCATAATCAAGGGTTTTTTATGACACATCAAAGATCCTATGGAGTCTCTTTTTATTGTAGGTCATACCTCAAACCTTAACGAAGGATCTTTTATGGCATGATATCAAATCTCAATAAAAAATCTCTTTATGAAAATGTTGTGGATCTAAAGATCTCTTGTCAACTATGATGTGGGTCATGCTTCTGATTTCAATCAAGAATCTCTTTTTGACAGGATTGTGCCTCATATGTTAATAAAAAATTTCTTTATGGCATATGGTTGACCCCATGAGGTCTCTTGTTGACTTTAATGGGAGTTATGTCTAGGATTTCAATAAAAGATTTCTTTATTACACGCTATGAACGTCATGATATCTCTTGTCAGTTTTGATGTAACTCATGTCTCGAATATTAATCAGAGATCTCTTTATGGTACACCGTAGATCCTATAACATCCTGATTCTCAATACTCCTGGTTTGTTAAATTTTGACAAAATCTTTGTCAAAATTTTAATAATTAAATTATTAGGAATTGGGTAAAGAAACTGTAGAGTTTTATGTTTGTTAGATTATTTGTGTTTTTCTAGAATTTTTCTGGAATTTTTAGAAAATACTTAAAATTGATCTGTTTCGCGGGCAACTGGACGCCTGATAGTAATTATATGATTTAGGGTTGAAATTGAAAGAGTATGGACTTAACAATTTTAATTGTCACATTTATAAATTATTGTTTTCTTGTATGCATTGAGTGTGGATACATTAAAAGTTTGTTATGTGTATAAATTGACAAGAAATATATGATGGTTGATATACTTTGGAGTGATGTTTAAGCCTTAGGGGTCGTGGGTTCAAATCCTGGCTAAGAGAAAATGAAGGTAAATTTTTTTGTAATGTAATCCGCTGGGCGCATCAGAAATGCGCTGAGCGGATTGTGGTTCGAAATCTCTCTATAATCCGCTGGGCGCATCAGAAATGCGCTGAGCGGATTATTAGGTGAAATGTTTGACTTTATAAGAAAGAGTGTCATTGCTTGCAACCGTAGTTCCTCATTTCTCTCTTTCTCTCAAAACTTTTCTTATCTTTAAAGGTTGATTTGGACGGGAAAATCTTGATTTTCTTGAGAAGCTCCAAGAGGTAAGTTGGTTTATCTCAATCTCCTCTACATTTCTACTGTTTTATTTTTCAAAACGGTGCATTTTCTATTTTTATCCTCACTTGAATGAGCTTGAATGAGAGTAGGAAGAGTGTTATTGTAGGTTTTACACCTAGAATACTATAATAATGCTTAAAATTGAGGATTAGAAGTGGTTAAGCTAAGAATTTTAAGAGCCCTAATTCATAGGTACTATTTATTGAATTTTTGGGACTTGTGTGAACAGAATTAGGAATTAGTATCTTCATGAAAGTTGTAGCTCTTTAAGTTTTCGAAATTTAGAAACTAATTTCACATTAAATGGATATTTGTAGCTCAAGTTATGCCCATTTTACTGTCAAGTGTTCTAGTTGTGACGTTAAGAGGTAGCCCTGTTTCAACAGCCTAGGTTTTTGAATTACTGAGATTGATACGTGTGAAATTAGGACTTAATTCCTTCATAAAAGTTGTAGGAAATTATATCCCCGAAATTTAGAAATTTATTTCATGTTAATATATTATGTGTAGCAAGAGTTATAATCCAATTACCAAGGCATGTTCAGAGTATTATTGTAGTTGAGCCTAGTTGGAAACAACCACTGAAAACTGAAAAACTGCATCTATTATATAGGGTATTTGAATTTATTTCCTTCATCAATATTGTAGGTAATTAAGTTATTGAAATTTTGGCTCAAATCTCATGCCAAAACAGCTTTTATATCTCTGGAAAATTTTGAAATACTGAACATTGTCCATGGTTGTTATTAGGATTCTTTCTACTCTAAGTGCCTATAAAATAGGATAATTTTCTAAGTTAATTGTAAGCTGAATGTGAACTTAAAATATTATTAGAAATGGATTAGTAATACAAAGTGAATTTAAATTCTCATGAGATAGAATCATAGAAATATAAGATTCTAACTAGCATTTTATTACGTATATAGATTTTGCTGAAACACAACATCAAGCTTTGAAAGGAATAAGTGTGAACGTATCAGGTAAGGGGTGGGCTATATAGTAAGGATTACATCATAAACTTGTTTAACCTTATTTGTTGAATTTGTCTAAATTTGTTATGATTGATCATTGTGATTTCATTATATGTTTGGTTGTGGAAGTGATAATGAATTGCTTACGTGTATGATGGTGTAAAATACATGTTTGATAGTCTATTATGATATGTATTGTCTTTGAGTGAGCATTTATATGCATTGTGGTTTTTCATGAGAAAATTCATTGAAAATTAAATTGAAAGAATTGGATGATGAGTTATGAATCCTTTTTGAACTGTATTGGAAGTTTTCTGCTTGTAACAGGTGATTGGAAATTTTTGGGAAATCTGTATTACAGGGGAAACTCTGTCAAATTTTTGGAAAAATGTGAATTTCTAAGAAAAATCACTTAGGGACTCATACACTACTCATTTGAAAATGGTGATTTGTGAAATCTGGGGAATCAGAGATTATGGACTCTGAGAATACGATAGGGAGGCCCTGAGGGAGGACTTGAGGATAGGAAGGGTAGTGGTTGGAGGCCCCAAAAGACGCAGGCTCGCTACCCGTTGTCGGGGATCCCACTCGTACAAACTCTTCTCGTACTGACCGTGCTCTTACCGTATATCAATGGTCGAGTGAGCTACCGGGTTTATATTTGAGCATGGGTCTCAACAATCCCGTGGGTAGATTTTCCATGCCTAATAGTGTCAACTCCTGGCTACCCCAGTACTGATTTGAGAAATGATTCGGGCCCGCATGCATAAACATTCTAGAAAACATATTAGGATCATGCATCATTAACATCAATCATTTGGAATTTGATTGACTTGTGAATGTTTATGATGTTGATTTTAAAATGATGTATGAACTGTTGCTCACCCTCTTGTCTTTATGTTTTCTTTATTTCTTTGTGCTTGCGGTACTCGTTGGACCTGATCGGTCATTGTTTGAAGAGAGGGGAGATGACACAGATTCCACACCCGATGAGTATGATACTCATACTCATTAGCTGGGAGCCACAATGATGGCAACATGTATTGGGATAAACATATCTAAACTTTTATAGATAGTCTT